TTGCAGAACTCCCCCCCCCCCCCCCTCCCTCCCACGTGAATAATTTTTTGTTTAAAGAAAAATATAAACGGAGTAGAGCAGGACAAGTAGACAGAAAGAAAGGAAGGAAAATTCATGGATCGATCTCATTCTACGGGTGAACTATGAAATTACCCCATGGAAATTTTGGAAAAAAAATACTAAACGGGACAAGGTGGAAAAGGTCAAAATCTTAGTATGTCAAGAATTACCCCATTTCACCCCGTCCTATATTCTACATCCCTAAATTAATGTAGAAAAGGCACATTCATTTTATTATATATGAATTTTAAAATGTTTGATTAATTGGTTGAATATTTCTATATGAATTCTACTATCCAGTTTAGATGTATAATAAAAAGAAGTGGATAATTTATTCGTTGTAATAATTTCAAGTACATACGTATCACCTTAAGATCCAAGAGAAAAAAAAAGGTGAACAAATTAATAAAACATTATAATAACTAGTGGTATCATTCTCTTTATATTGATACTCGATATTTACATTTTGTTTATTATCCATACTATATATACATAACTAATTACAAAAAAAAATTGATAAAGTGCGGCAATGTATATATACACTCTTGCTTTGAATTATGTCACATTTTTAAACGTAATCATAATATCATTAGTGGTTATGGTGTTATGGTAAGTATATCGTTCTGTTCTTAATAAGAGATCTTGTATTCAAGACTTAGAAAATGATGTTGCTTTTGTATGAACATGCTTCATCTCCAAAGTAAATTTTTCAACGTGAATTCTAATTAGTCGAGTTCAAAATTGAGTACCACCGATGGGGAAACAAAAAAAAAACTAATCATAAAAATTTATATCATGTCCATTTTATGTCACCACCATGGTTACAATGAGATGGTAAGTGCCCTTTTATTATTAATTATATATTTTGAGTTTGAGTTCTAAAAATAAAGTCATTCTTTGTCAAAAGCGCTTGACCTGTACTAGACATTAAATGTGAAATTACAAAAAAAAAAAAAAAAAAAAACTAATCATAGCAAATCATTTTTTTTATGCCTTGTCCTTCTAGGACAATCTTTGTACCATTTGCAAAGCTTCTTATTGGCAATTTTATGGAATCTAATATTTTGTTGGTCTCATTACATTTTCAATTACCTTCATCAAATGTCCATTTTTTTCTTTGGAATAAGGACCACATTGTGTATAGGATAGGATTAGAAACTAGAGTTACTTTCATCCTCAACTTGAATGAACCTTTTATTCCAATCTTGTTTTGGTGTAGTTTGATCCACTCTTTTTTATATATGAATACAGCTAGGTAGAAAAAGATTGTTTTGGAATGAAGGTATATTTCTTATAAGCTTGTTAAGGTTTATCCATAACTTTTAGAAACACGTGTATTTCTTACAAAAATTTCCATGAAATTCAAAGAAAATGCGCTCGTCAAAAATCCCATATTATCAACGATGTTTTGATAGAAATGCCTATGGAATTATTATTTAATCAAAATGTAAAAAAAAATTGCTTTTTTTTTGTCCCAAACCTAAATAAAGGAGGATGCTTATTAGGGTTGGCACTAGAAGTATACTTTTTTTTTGTGGCAATTGTTTTAAGTCGCCGCAAAAACCCTACTTTTTGTAGCGACTAGATTTGTCGCTGAAAATCATATATTTCTTGTAGTGAGGATTGTCGTACGTTAGAAGCCAATGTAAAACTCGTTAACTGATTCACAATGAATTCCCGTAATATAAAAGTGTGATGATGACACGATCTGAGCTTAAATAAAGCAATGAAAATTTATATAGTCGATTAAGCTTACTTAAATTAAGGTGAAATTATTGTTTTTAGTCAAAATATTAAGTGGTTTTATGATTGAAAGGGTGTATAAACCATCAAACTTTTATGGATTAAAAAAGAAGTTTTGGCTAAGAGGACCTAAGTGATATGCTTTGGATTTTTCTAGTAATATTCTTGGTATTTGGAAATTGGAATAAGGTTCTTGATTTTTCCCCCCTTCATATCTCTTCAAATGTGTTTGTTTTTTTTTCTTTTAGTTCTCTTCATTAGATTAGTCATTCCAATAAATATCAGCCAATTATAGGTCTAAAAAGCTATTGAGTTCGTTTAAATACATAGCTAACATTATAGTTTTGCCTTAATTTAAAGCACGGGCTAGAGCTCTAGCTCTCTTAATATTAATTGTAGCTTGAAATAACATTGTCACTTTAGTGTATGGATTTATGGAAATTTAATTATTTCAGTTCAAATTCTATATATTAAAAAATTCACTAAATATTTATAATTTTTTTTACTTATTTATAATTAAAAAATTCGCTAACTTCAAATCTTAAGTCTGGTTTTTTTTTTTTCAAACATCATCATAATTCAAATGAAGACTTCTTCATTAAGAAACATTCCTACTAGGGCAAAATCA